GGGGCTCCCTAGATCTGTTGAACAAACTGTCGAGGAAATCAATAATTTTAATGTATCTTGTAACAGCTTTCTACTATATCTATACTTATAGCTCTCTAGAAACTACCTTAGTTTCTCTCCAAGTCTAGGTGTCCAAGGGTTCAGCTGTAATTACATCAAACTATTAACAACTCGAATAAAACACAGAAACTTTATTATCACTTCTTGGCACTTTTCACACGCTGGTCTCTCTCTGACAACTAACACACTTCCGGTCATTCGCGCATTTGTAAAAATAGAAAGTCTACATACAGACATTCATCCGTGACACATCTCTTAGCAGAGGATTCCCGCAACGTTTGCTTTTTATCTTTCTGTTCTGCTCCACACCTTTCCACCCATAACTTTGTACGAAATGATTTGCAAATGATTTCGCAGTGGGGAAATCCAAAACAATAATAGAATGCTCATTTGACTGACCACGCTATCTTTGAGTCAATTTTGGTAATAGTGAACCTCGATACAATACTACACCATTATAACGGGAAAGTTGTTACTAATTGATAAGCTCACCTTCTTTTTATAGATTCACCCAAAAATCTTCACACTAATACAACTTCTACATGACTATACAAAATATAAACCTTATGTTGTTTGTTAAAATCGATAGTTAAGCCTGTAAAGTTATTTGATGAAAGTTAAAAGAATGTCAATCAAATTTACGCTACCTATTGTCAAAGTGACCCATTCGGCGACGCCACAGCACCGGCCCATTATGGGTACCGGCCCACCGGACATTTGCCAGGATGCCCATATAGCCAGTCCGCCCCTGATCTAAATTGCCTGAGCTCGACCATATTTTTCATAACAACTATTATTCCCAATATTAAACTACGTTTACACTAAAATGATCACATTGTAGAGACCAAATTTGACATTTATATGCGATATAAGTGTCCGGCCCCAGCAGAAGGTGGCAATTTTGTATGGCCGTTAGGGAGAGTATGTCGGAACAGGCGTCTTCGTCTACCAACACAAATCAATTTTAATAAAGCTATGGTTCTCATCTCGCTTTTGTTGGACTCTAAGACCTGGCTGCTCTATGGAAGGCATATACCTCTGACTTCTCGAACTCTTCCATCAGTCGGATAAAATGTTGTTTCTTGTAAAAAAAAAAGACATTTGTTTTCTTTTGTGTTGGTACATGTCCTTGCTGAGAAACTAGTCAAACTTAACCTCCGTAGGCGCAGAGTACTTTCTTAATATAGCAGAATAAAACGGGGAACAATTTCTCTTGAAACAAACATCAAGTTTACTTTTAATGACAACTAGAACTTTCCACCCACTTCAATGCAGATGTATTTTGAAATAACGAACATACAAGATATCGAGCTATTCAAACTATTTTAACTCACTTCAGAACTACAATTTACACAACTTGTCTCCGATTGGAAATCTCACTACCACTGAATTATACGAGACGTTCACTCTTATTTATATTGATTGGTATCTCGAACAAATGAAAGAAGTTGTACTTGACTGAAGTGGTGGTATAAGCTAAATTAGTCCCCTTTTATAGGTCGTCATCTGAGGCTTAGTGAACACAAACATGAAAATGAAGCAATAGACAACTATACAATCGTGGGGAACCGTGGTCGAGAGGCCAAGTGCGCTTGAACTTGGCTTGGCTTGGTTACCTACAAGGGGGCTCAAGGTTGGACACCCGACTCGGGCAGAGTTGCGTTTACTGAGCGGCTAAAGTCAGCACGGAAAACTAACTCCTAGATACCCCCTCCCCCCCCCCCCCAGCACTGGTCAACAAATGAGATTGGACCAAAAGCGCTCTGAGCATGCTATAAGCATGAAAGTAGCGCTATATAAAAAGCTATAATAATAATCTTTCATGTTCATACGCTCTTCGTTAGCAGAGTGGTTAAAGTGCTGGCTTGAGAAGCATGAGAAAGCTTTGGCCCACGAGTTCGAATTCAGGTCGTTCATTTTTTGAAATACATTTTAAAAAAACGATCACCCAGTTATCCCGTTCTTTCTCGCCCACCCCTTTCAAAGGTTCAGACAAGTGATAGAATCATAGCTATTGAGAAAACTAAAAACATGATATTGCGCTAAACAAAAACAATTGCTAAAAATATTTCTAACCGCACAGATTTGTCATTGTTAGTCTCGATCTATGACAAATTCAATACATGAAAATTAATTATTACACATAATATAAGCTTTGTTTGTTTTTTGTTGTTGTTTTTTCTTGTTTTGCTTTAGTTTTTGTATCAAAGCTTTATTAGCATAACCAAAAAACTTAAGGCGAACCTTGAGGCCAACAATTCCGTTGAAAAGAAAAAGAGAACTACAGTTCCCTACAAATGAAAAGCTATAGCAACAGAGAAAATTAGTTTCTATTTTAAAGCAATATACATTTAAATATCCATTTAATATTTGGTTTTGAGATGAAATTTCACACAAAAGAAAAAATCTAAACTTTCAGTTTCTTTTCAAGTCTGTTAGTCATTAGTTCCGTACTGTGATGTAGAGATAGACTCCATAAATCTATGCTTGCGAAGTATTGTAGCTTTTGTTTCTGTTACATGTAGTGGCTAGCCCTGATCCCATTGTGCGATGATGTTGATGTTTAATGCCAGTTCCTTTCACTGTTTTTTTTTTTTCCTGTAGTTATAAGTAATCCCTTGAGAATGTTACAGGAGAAGAAGGTGAAGAGTGGTTGGGGAAACATTGACGTACAGTCAATTGTACAAATAAAAAAGCTTAGCTAAGGGGAAGAACTCAAAATTTACAACTGTATTTCTCAATAATATAGAATATATTTCCCTTATTCAATATTAAAGAACATAAATCAATCAAGTTTCAGCTTGATGAGAGAATGAGTGTTCAAAATGTGTACAAGACAGTCAGATAGACAGCGTGAGTTTGTATATGCATTGTAAATAGGAGCAACAAATGAATCACATATCAACAGATCATATGAAAACTTGTATCATGGCTTGTGCAATGCAAATCTTAAATATCAAAAATGTATTCACTGCAACAAAAAAAAGAGAGAGAGAGAGAGAAAGAAACATTCAAAATATTTAAATTTATTTGAAATCTTTTTAAACAAACAAAGCATATCTAATGTAAAGAATCGCAAGGCTACCGCCATATATCTCAATGCTTCAGAAATAAGCTCCCTTTGTTTTATAGAACAAAATTAATGAATTACCATTAACAGGTGAATTGGTTAATCTTTTGATTGATTCATGTAGCGTCATCGACTAGGAATAATCAATTGCAAAGTTTCATTTTGATTCGAGAATGGAACATGGGAGAAACAACTCTACATATACAGCCACATCTCAATAAATAGCATTTATTCCCCTTTTTCGACACCAAACAAAATAATAAATGACCAATAGCTCATTAACTAATTCGTTATTTTTTAATTGATTCATGTTTTATTAGGTACAACAGATAATTGTGTCAAGTTTCAATTGACCCGAGAATGGGTGTACAAAAACTGCACCAGACAGAGTGAGTTAATAATTAGTCGATTGGGACGTTAATAGTTTCTTTGCTTCTCCATATCAAGAGGCCAACTTACACTTATAGTCAGTGTCTTCGAAAGACAACATTATGTATTATGAAATTCTCTTGTGTCATTATAATGTAAACTCTGTAGAATCAGAAACTTAGCACAAAAAAATAACATGAAGATTTATAGAGAAGTGATAATAAGGAAATTGAAGCAAGAGCTTGGTCGGCTAGATCCAGTTACATAGGCCTACAGAGTATCTTTAGTACAGACTCTCAATAGGCCTTATTTCGTTTAGATCTAGATGGCTATTTATGAGGAGGCAGTGGCGCACCTAGGGATTTGGGGGCCCAGAGGTATTGGCCCCTTTAAGGGCCCCTGCATTTTGACACTTGACATCATGATATGAGATAACAACGTAAATTGTAAAAATACGTGGCAATGGCGAAACATTTAATGTAAACAAAAAATTACGGAAACAAATGGGGTGGTGGGCAACTCAAGTAGGGGATGGGGGGACTTGAATTTGAGCACCCATTCCCCTAGCTACGCAACTGTGACGAGGGTAAGATCTAAACGAGATATCTAGATCGATAGAGCTATATGTGAGTAAGTTTTAGTGTGCCTAGTAGTCAATCATAAAGTCACGTGATAGCTCTGCAAGTCAGGATTAAACAGACGGCTGCTTGGTCGCATGATATGCGCTCTGGACTAATTGTTCGGTGCCATGCCCCATCATCATGTGGAAAGTTTAGTTTCTATATCCAAAGTACGTAGGCCTACAACATTTAACAAAGTTACAAACAAACGCTAAGATATATAATAGATTAGATCTAGAAAGAAACAACCACCAAAATACTTGGATATTCTCACACTTGATCAATTACGGTAGAATAATTAGATGTCAATTTAGACATAGACTCCAGATCTAGCCGAGATTCTAGTATCAAATTTAATCAAGATCAAATAAATCTAGATCTAGATCTTTATTATGGTCTAGATTACTATAGAGATGTTAATGTCATAGAAGAAGAAAAAAAAAGACAAATAGCTTACCTTTCATGCATATCAGTTGCTGGTCTAGTATTTTCAATGATATTGACGTCTATTACAAAATTTGTTAGATCTAGTCAATCTAGATCTGTATCTAGTCCAATTGTAGACAAGATGTGGATCTAATCTCAGTTTTGCTGCTGGTCGATCTCGCAAATCACACACAAAAAAAGAGTCTATGGACAGTTCTATGGTAAATAGATGTAGATCTAGATATATAGGCTACATCTGTTGCCGCTGATTTGTTTTTTTTGAGGACGTACCGGATGAGAGTGAGGGAGACTGTGGCTTTTTCGAATTAGCCTTGTCTTTACCTTTTCCTGCAGATTTGTCTTCTTTGGCTTTTCCACTGTCCTTTTTCTTGTCTTCTTTTTTTTCTTTCTCTTTTCCTGCAGATTTGGCATCCCCTTTGGATTTTCCACTGTCCTTTTTCTTGTCTTCTTTTTTTTCTTTCTTAGCTTGAAGTTTTCCCCCTGTTACTGGCTTTTCTGCGCTTCCTTTTTTGGGAGCTTGGAGTTTTTCCTCTGCAACTGGCTTGTCCGTGCTTTCTTCACATCTTCTACATGGAGGTAATAGAGGCGCTGGGCATGGGCAGGCAGGCATTTCTGGTTCGGGTTCCGGTGGAGGAGTAGGGGTCTTCCTCTTCGGACATGGGGGTAGAAGTGTATAACATGGCGGTCTTACCGGCGTCCGATCATCTGTCTGTGGTGCAGCAACGACGTTTTTAGTTTTACCTTTATCGGCCATGATGTTTAGATTATTGTTTAGAGTCTGTGAAACAGTGCTATTTCTCTAGACGGCGGCCATTGAATAGTAAAGGAATATTTACGCGGCTAATCAAAGGCGAAAATGACGTCACGTTTCAATATAGATGGCTTAGAGATTATTTCTTTATACAATATTTTGTTTTGACTAGAAAGATAAAAGATAAAGACATAAAGATATTAAATATTCTATAATGAGTTCGTACAGGAGTAATAGCTGTTACCCTTGCTTCGCTACGGTGGAATTTTTTTTTCGTCCTGCAAAGGCACGTTTTCAACTCACGTCCTCTCCCCCACGCCTCTACATACACATACACATACAGACTTTTCTGGGCATCGAATTCCTAACCCCCAACGGCCCACAACTCAATAATTTAGAATGCACAGAGAGAGAGAGAGAGAGAGAGAGAGAAGTGCTTGGTCCATCAGTTGAAGTCTTAAAGAAACAAAAATGCCAGTATTATAAGGCTCGACTTTGCCGCTTCTTTTGGTTTAACAATATACATCGGAAAAACAGAGGTCATGCTTCAGAAGTCACCCAATAGAATCTATTGTCGAAAGTCCCAAAGATTATCGCCAATGGTCACTCTCTAACGTGGCAGGACACTTAACATATCTGGGAAGCACAGTATCAAATAATGCATTAGGCCTACTTTTAATAACGTTAAATTGTAAACCGTCTGGCCAGGCGAGACCAACGATTGGTCTCCGCCAGGGCCAGTAGCGCTTTTGGACGCCTTCAAGTGATAGTGTGACGGAATAAATCACTACACCTGCCTATAAAAATCACTGTCTACCAAGCAGTGTTTCTCTCAACCCTTCTATGTCTATGTGTAACTATGATATGGGTAATTTATAGAAAGCAAATAAGACTTCTTTAAAATTTTCAACAAGAATGTCTGCGCTCCATCATGTACATACGATGACAAGAGCGCACCACAAATATCGATGCCATTATGGACAGCATAGAGGGACTGCTTATATTTTGACAGAGAGAGAGAGAGAGAGATTTTTACCATAATCTAAACAATGTCAAGGTCGCTAAATTGAAATTAACAGTTGCCAGCTAAATAAAAATGAATTGAGCTTTAATTTTAACAAGACCTCAATTCGTGGCGGCTGAGCTTTGTATCATATCTCTTTTTTCCAGTCCGTCAGTTGCCCATATGTTTACCCAAAATGTGAATTCCGGTTCCCAGTCATTTCATCTCCTGTTTTCATCATCTGATCATTTTATCTAACAAAGAGTAATTGTAGAATCCGTGAAATAAGCAATATTAAATATATTCCTTTTTATTTACATGACAAAAAAGTGTAACACATTAGATAAGAATAAAATAAATGCCATTAAAACTATAAAAATGTTACATTTATAGATATAGAGGTCATGTAAAAAAAAGATAATACATCTATAGTGTTCAGCAAAATAGATAGGCTATTGATTTTACATACAGAAGACGATCCATCGATTGATATTGCTGAGCAATGTTTGTAATTCTCTTTGTCTATAACACAATTTACTATTTCAATATTTAAAAGAAATTAAAGCAAAACTTATTTAGGCAACATGATATCCTGTGGATGGGTGAAGCCAGCCTTTATTAGAAAAAAGGCTAAAAATGAGGTGCCCATTTTCAAGAAAGAGCATTTGAAAAATAAAATAAAATGAAATATGATCGTCAGGAGTTATCAGCGGCATGATCGTAAGTATTCTAATCGTTCTCATCTCTTATGTGATCTCCACTCCTTCCACTACACCTTGGCCTTTGATCACTACGTCATGCGCAGGGTAATATTATAATATTACATCCCCCACATTCAGCAGAAGCGTTATAGCTAAGTACACACCCAGATTAACAATATATTTATCAAGAATGTAAAGTGGAAGGAGAAACACTATAAACGCATTAATAACATGTCAAAAAATATCAAAAAGCATTCTTCATAACCATATTTATATATTACATGGAATGAGGGCTTAACGTCAAAGCCTTAACAGCACAACTAAACAATAAAAAAGAAAAAAATATTAAATTGGGGATGAAATGACCGGTCACCGTGAATTCCATTGGGGCCTTTTCGGAAAGTGCATTTTTGTTCCTCTAGGTTTGGAACGTACTGAATAGTCGGTCAATCGGAGGATGGTTCAATAAAAAGATGTCATTGTAATAAAAATGGGCTGTAAAGTGTGAAAGCGGTTATGTGTGTGTGTGTCACTGTGTGTGTAAAAAAAGGGAGGGGAGCTCACGGTTGAAATATAATATAGTTTGAATTGAGAAGCCGAAGTAAAGTCACAGAGTGTACGAAAAACTAACTTTGTTGTTGGCCCGGGAGGGGGGGATAAGTAAAAGGGATACTAGAATTAGCGAGCACAAAGTATGAGCGCGCGTACGTGTCCGGAACGCATTATAAAGGGGGCTTTCCAAAGCAAGTCAAAAGTCTATGTCGGAGAAATTACGATGCGCAGGTTTAAAACAAAATGGAGAGAAAGAATGGAGAGAGAAAAAAATATCATTGTAACTGATAAACTACTACACAGTTAAGTTGGTTTTCAAAATTAAAATAAATAAACATTAAGCAATATGAAGCCTGGGAGAAAAATCAACGGGTGCGTGTATATATATATATATATATATAAACATCAAAGAAAAAATGCTACGCCAGATGCAGAACCACCACTACACACTACTTCTTCTAACACCTCAGCACCACACGTACCATACGTAACACGCTAAGGCAGAGTGGTAAACTACCCCAAGAGATTTGATTTTGTGATTAACTGAATAGACTTCAATCATTGAATAGTATGTTAGTTATTCAGATATATATGTATTATGAATTAAAGAAGAGAGGTGTAACATATTGGTATTATATGTACATTTGCACACGAGCGCGTCATTGCAACACCGCTTGTGTTTACGTAATAAATGGAGTTCCTAATATGTCTTCCCTCTTAAGCACTAGTTTGTTATTTGTATAAACCCAACTATTCTCCCCAATAAAAACACATGTTGGTGGCTGTGGAACACATGTTGGTGGCTGTGACAGCTAGGATGTCTGGGGGGGGGGGGCGCTCTAAAGTCTCCTCAGTGGAGTTCGTAGAGAAACCCCGACGCCAAGCGTGTTCTTGCATTTTAAGTGCAGAAACCCAATCTCCTGACATCTATTGCCCATTATTCATCCTATTTAAAAAGGCTGGTCAAATTTAGTACAGTAAAGTAATGTAGGGGCAAGGGGCCGCTACACAAGTGTGACTAACAATTGAGGCACAACTCTTTGTATTGACACGAGCGAAATGTCATATTTTGATTGTTTTCAATTCTTTTTGTTTCTTTTAGACTAATTCTAATATGAATTTATAAGTCCTAACTACGTTGCAAATACAACTACAACCGATTTGTTCCTTCTGAGGAATGGGTCGCCCACCCCCTGGAACCGCCAGTGCTACTAGTCTATAATATAAGCGCAAAATACCACTCACGATATCCCTTTACACTATCGTACATATCAGCATCAAATTTCGTACACAGGTTCCTTTTACTTCCTAGGTGCTCACTACTGTTTATGACAGAATCGCAACCTTGGGACTGCTATTCGCCTATGGACCTCCAATCACCCAAGGCCGGCCTTGACAAACATTGTCAACTCGTGTGTGTACTCAGAACTCAGTACCTAAAGAAAAACACTATCATCTCGTGTGTGTACTCAGTACCTAGCACTAAAAAACACTGTCAAACTCGTGCCTGTAACTATACCAAGTTCTTTGTACTGCTAAACAGTAAATATGTTAAACTTTTCTCTGAATAAATTGGATACTCCTGTGTGCGAGACTCACTAGTCTACAAGTCTTCACAAATGCCCTATGTATATTTAGAAAGTTGCACATTTTTAGTGTTTCATACAAAGCCAAAATTAGCCCAAAAGGTGTAGCGTCAATTCAAGTCCAAAAGAATCGAAGCCGATCTAATAAAATGGCAATACATTTCTTGTAAAATAAGCCTTAATCTCGTTTTTGTTTTCCTTTTATTTCCCATTTCTTTGTCCTTATAATGTCTCTCCAAAATAGGGCTCCACAGCCAAATGAGGAAGTGTACGAGATGAACCAGAGTCGTTCTACGACTGAAGAAGGCCGACTAATAATGCAATGCTTCAATGTCAATTATTTTTGTAAAACAAAAAAAAAACACATCTAATACATTTATTGGAATAATTTGTTCTTGTCTAAAATATTTAAACTTTGAACTACGCTAGTCCTATGAATAATCTCTAGCCCAAAATGAAATGTTTGAAGCAAAACGTAAATAAACCAAGTGACGTCAAATATTCCTATTGACGTTTCCCATAGCTTCTACCGCTTCATTTTTGAGTACAACTTGTTCTAAGCAGCATCTCAGTCAACTCCTTCAAACAGAACATTACTAAATAGCACTGATCAACTTGAACTTAGAACCAAGTCCCACTGAACTCTCCTTGTCATGGCTGGCGAAAAAACCATCAACTCTCAGAAAAAAGTATGCGAAGGTAAATTTCAACCCGAGATCAAAGAGCTGCCTCCACTGGAAGAATACGTAAGACCACCATGTCCTGGGAGCGAAAAGACAGAAGGAAGTGCCCCAGCATCCCCTAAAGCTAAAGCAAAGACCGATCCAAAAGCACCCAAATCACCTTCAGTTAAGTCTCCAGCCTCCAAAGCAGCCGGAAAGGGAACCAAATAGACTAATAGCTAGCCAGCCTACCGGCGCAGTTTCAAAAAATCATTTCAACGTGGATCTACTTTAAAGTCTGGTAAGTAGACTTAGATTCTAGATCTAAATCTAGTAGACCAGTCCCAGATTTAGGAGATGGCTTTTTCGATGTACTGTAGGCTATTCCTAATCTAGATCTAAACACAAATCTTGTATAGCCTACCCATTATCAGAATGGTTGGCTAGATCAACATATCTCCATCTAAATTTTAGAATTAGAATAAATTAATATAGACTAAAATCTAGACGTCTAGAGCTAGCATACATTTAGATTTAGTCATAAGCCCATCGTACAAGGGGCTGCAAGGTGCTGATCTCTAGATTCTATTTCTTGTATGGGAAGACGGGGGTACATTTAGATCTCCCTGTTGAATAAC